CAAGAGAAGACACTGCAATGAGAAGCCCGCACACCACAATGAAGAGCAGTGCCCACTCACCACAACCAGAGATGGCCCACATGCAGCAACGAAGACCCAACACGGCCAAAAATAAATAAATAAGATAATTAAAGTAAATAAATAAAACTTTTTTAAAAATGTTCCTTTCTTTGTCCCTTTCCTCAATCATGCATTTAGCACTAAATATAAAATATAGTACACTAATCATGTACATTTTAAGCTTACCCTCCTCTCTTTTAGCCAGACAGAATATTTCTGAGGAACCAAAAACATGTGTAATTCATCTTAGCAACCCTAGTACCTGGCAACTTCTGAGCAAATGGTAAGTTCTCAATAAATACTTACTAAAAAATATGATTAATTTGAGAAATAATGTAAGGCAAGTGGTTCCACAGAGCAGCTTTCCTCTGCAGAAATCAAATCTCTTACAATTACATTTATCCTTAAAATATCCTCCTGTGACAAAGGCAAAATGTATTTTACAAACAGAAAAACTAAAAAAGATCTAATGGGAGTCCCCGTTAGATAGTCCCCACTTGACACTTAATATTGAACAAGAGCAAAGTCATTATAAAAGCATCAATGAAGGAAAAATCTTCTCTTTGAAGTAAATTTGAGCCCCAAAAACACTAATAATGGGAATATAGAGAAATAACGACAAAGAATCCGGAGATAATGCTGGCAACAAGTAATGGACTGCCTTTTGAGGACATGTCATGTAAGCATGTGACTGCTGTACTTCTACAACGGCTGATATTGATATGTGCATTGACAGGTGTCAAGTCACATTGGTAAAATGCATTTCCTGTCCTTTAGGAGAGTCTCTAATTTTGAAATCAAGCAGCGACAAATTTCTATTCTGTTCTCCTGTGTTGCTGACTTCTAACGCTTTTCCTAAACAGGATCCAGCATAACCCATTGCCATAGAGCTAAGGGTGACGCAAAAGATCACTGTGTGTGAACAGTGTGGCAGAAAAAATGGTATAATCTGGCGTATTGGCATCTGGATGTTTTCCTCCAAATACAGAGCAAAGTGCCCCAAGAGTTCAAGCTGATTTCAATTCACTATACAGAGGCTACACGGTCTGGTCAGAGAGCACTAGGAACCGGGTCACCTGCTTTGCTGTAAGAACCCAACCACGACTGATCACATGACCTCAGACAAGTGGATTCCTCCAACAGTCATTTCCAGAGTAACCACCATGTACCAAATATCATACAAGATGATGGGGACACAGAGGTAAAATGTGTAATCCATGTTTTCCTGGAACTTACAGTCTAGTGCTGAGTCAGGCGATTGGAGCAGACTGCACCGTTGTTCCCCAAACTCGTTTTCCTTTCACCGCGAGCATGAAGATAGACCAGATTTCCTAGCCTCCACGTAACTGCATTGTGCCTGGTGGAATGTAAGCAGTGAGGTATGCCGTACCCAGGTCTGGCCACAGAAAACCTCCCCCTTGATTATCGACTTTCTCTCTCCAGTTCCTTATTTGCCAGCTGGATGCAGGGCACCCTGCAGAGGACTCTGATTTCTTAGAGGTGATGGAGCCACAGATGGAAAGGAGCAAAAGTCCACCTGCTGAACACCCTCCTGGAACTATTATGTGAGCAAGAAAGAGATTCCTATTGTGTTAGGTGCCTAAGTTGTTTGCTACAACAGTCAGTCTACCTTACCAAAGCATGAACCCAAACTACCTCCAAGATACTATGATACTGAGTAGCGCAGGATGACATGGGATACCCAAAAGAGGCAGCTCGCCTGGGCTGGAGTTGGATATCAGGCAGGGCTCCCCAGAAGAAGAAACACTTAAGATGAATCTTGAAGGACAGTGTGAGATAGTGAAGAAGGGAATAGAAGGTTGCAGAGGAGAAAGCATTTGCAAAGTCGTGAAACTTGGAGGAAATGGGGTGCACTGGGGCAGCCTTAGTGATTCCTGACTAGTAGAGTGTGGAGTGATGTTGGGAGGTGGAGGTGCTCAATATGCATTGGCTGAAATGACTGATAAAGAGCAGAAGCTAGGAGATGTCGTAGCTCCTAGAAATGATGGATAAGGGAAGAGAAAAAAAGTAATCAAGGACCGTCTAATTTATAAGGCAGAACAGATGGCATCCTCTTCACTGAGATAGAAAATGCAGGAGAAAGAGGTGAAAGAATGAGTTCAATTTTGAAAAAAAAAGGAAGAGAAGAGAAAAGAAAGGAAAAGAAAAGAATCTGAGATAGCTATGGAACACCCAAAAGATAAATCGGCAGGTAGTTAGATGTATGGACCTAGAGCTCAGGCAGTGGACAGAAGAGGTGGGTTTGGAAGGGGTCACCATGCTTAGGGCTGAAGTCATAAGCATGATGGGATTGCTCAGGTAGAATATTAACAGTGAGAAGCCAGAGAAACAGGGAAGAAAAGGGAAAGGAGGAAAGAGGGAAAGAGCAGGAGCTAGAGAAAGAGACATTATGAGAAAGAAGTCATAGAAGCCAAGGAGAAGAGATTGAAAAAGCAATCAATAATAAGGAATACTTCCGAGTGGTGAAATAAGATGATGGCCTGAAAAATGTCCATTATGTTCAACTAGGCAGCTACTTGTGACCTTAACAACTTCCATCTCAGTATTTGGAAGAGCCAGGTTAAAGGGATCTGGAGAGTGAATGAGGGATGAAAAATTACAGATAGGAATATAGAACACTCTTCAAGGAAAACTGGCTCTAAAAAACAAATTAGCCTGAAGTGGACGAAGAGACGGTTTGTTTCGTTTTGGTTTTCATTTTTCAAGATGCGAGACTTAAACACGTTAACATGCTGAATTCTCTGAACTCTTTCTTTATCTTAAAATGGGGATAATAATGCCCCTTCTCCTTGGTCCACTGGATTGTTGTCAGAACAAATAAGATGACGTATGTGAAAGATTCTAAAGTACTATGTAAAGAGCAATGTTATTTTGTATTCATAAATGTTGAAAATATGGAGTTATAAAAGTTAAGAGTCCACTGAAATATGTCTGGCTATCAAATCAATGAAAAACTTATCATCAGTCTGGATCTGTAAATATTAAGAAAAATGTCTTGAATGCACACTACATGTTGGCAACCCTAAACCTTAGAGGCTAACGACAGATTTCTAAGTCCTTTGCTGGACGAAATTCTTCTGGTGCTCCTAGGTTACAGCCTGGGCTTCCAGATGTCTTCATTATACCAGGAAAAAAATGTCAATGAACCCTGGCAGATTGCTGTGCATTAAGTCATCTGGGAGTTTATTAGTCTTATGAGTAGTAGTTGTTAAATGAATATTTCTGGCATTCACCCAGTTTCACAAAGCAACAGAGAAGCTCCATAATTTCGATCTCAGGACCAGTGAAATCATGGTGAATGGCCACAGGTTGCTGTGTTATTCTAAGGGGTGACTGAGGTATTCTGGGAAGTAAGCTAGCCATTTCCCAGGAGGACTTCCCTCCTGGGAAAAGTAACCATCCGAAAGAATATGGTCCAATCATTATTTCACTAGTCACCAAAACTTTAAAGACTCTACAAAGAGCATTACTTTTAGCACTGTGACATCAGTGTAACTAGGTTTTCTCTCATAAAACTTCTAACAAGTGGTTTTAGCATGCCCCACCTTCCTCCCCTGGGATGATACCTTATCCCCATAAAGGAAAAATGTCCCTTTCCTTTTCTCTGCCCTTTTGGACAACTCCTCTGACTGGGTTTCCTAGTTGCTGATGTGTCCTCAGTTATTTTTAAGGGCGTAGGGTGCTAATTATTTAAGGTCAAGCAGCTGTGACTCCAGCTCCAAAGAGCAATTGTGCAGAATAAAGAATGCTTCCTTTACAAAGATATTAAAGATCTAGTCTTGAGACTCAAATAAACCCAATTTGCAATTATTTTTACATTTTTTTTTTATCTTAGAGAAACCAGGCCACAACACTAAAACGGTGCTTCTTTTATCCATGTTTCTCAAATATTTTATCCTTGATATGTGACACTACGATATGTAGCTATTAAACTAGGCCCAATGTCTGCAGGTCAATTTTTGGACTTTTTATCCACTGCAATGCCGAATTTCCTCCTACAACGGGGGATCAATAAAGCATGTTGCAATCACCTCAATCAGAAATACAAAGAAAAAGACAAAACTTACGCTGCCCTCAAAATAGACCTTCATAAATATCAAGTATCTTTCATAAGTTTACCTCATTCAATCTTAAAATAATTTTGTAAATGTATTATTGTTAATTATCACCAATTAATAGAGAAGAATGCTGAGGCGCAGAGTTTTAAGAACATTCCCAAGATGGTATGAGATTAACAGATACAAACTACTATGTATAAAATAAATATGGAACAAGAATATATTGTATAGCACAGGGCATTACAGCCATTATCTTGAAATAATTTATAATGGAGTGTAATCTGCAAAAATACTGAATCATTTTGCTGTACACCTGAAACTAATATAATATTGTAAATCAACTATACTTCAATTAAAAAAAAAGAAGAACATTCCCAAGGCCTCACAGTTCTTCAGAAGCAGAAGCAGGTGTACATCCAAGGTCCTCTGCTGCCTCAACTCTTTCCACTACACCATAGATGGCCCCTATCATGTAACCTGCTTTATTTGTATTTCACTTCTCTAGCAACAATGGAAAAAAGCCTGGCTGCCTCTGAAGTCTTTAGGAATCTTTGATGAAATGCAGACATGAATTCAGTTCTCCCTCCAATGAAAATATATAAAATACACTGGTTATATATAGAATGTTATGGGATCATCATGGATGTGGAAAGCTTTGTAAAGGAATGCACAAATCATGCTTGGAATCCTGAAAAGGCCAAAAAAAGATATTACAAACAAATGAACAAATGTAGAATGGGGGAAAAGTTCCATGAACAATCAGTATTTTCTTTTGATTGGTTTGTTTTTATTTCAAAAGGGCTTCTCTTTGATGGAAATCCCTGGTTTTTGAAAGCATTTCAAATGAACATAATGACCAACCTGTAGATGGAGAAGGAAGCCACCGATCGAATGAGGGATGCCAAAGCCCCCACTTTGGCAGCTTCCACCGCCCCCTGGACGCGGTATTGCACTGCCCTCGAGTAGTTGGTGTAAGGTTGATTGTAAACGACAATCTTCCCTCTTGCTTCTGGGGCCCTTCTCTGCAGTTCGTCGAAAGAGGTCACCACCAGAACTTCTGCTGTAATGCCTACAAATAAAAGTCATACAAGGTTAACATATGGTTTCCGATCAGCCAGGGTGAATTGGCACACAAAAGGTCACACATGTTCTATCTACTACATCTGGCAAACTGGTTTGCAAAGATCAAAGTTTCAGAGCCATCTGCTATGGGAGAAAGATTCTGGGGGTTAGCCAGTTTCCCAAGAAAGAGAAAAGGCATTCAAAAAATATACGACTCTTAAGGTTTTTCAACTCACTTGACCAGCTGCTATTAAATCACAAATTGCTTGAAAAGATGTCTTTTTTTGCCTCTTTCCCACAGAATGACAGCAATTATTTATTTTTAAAAATGCATTTTAGAAAGCTCCCCTTGGGTTTAAAGAAACATATTTATCTTTTCATAAAACTATTTTGATATGTTGCTAAACAACCTTCACTGACATCATACAAAGGGTGGCAGTTTATAAAGAATGTTCTTCGAAGCCAACGACCTTCATAAATCCAACTTTTAACAAATGGTTAATGTAACCCGTCTCAAGAGCCACAAAAAGTCAGCTTGTTTTCTTTTCTTCCTTGTACCAAACCCTTTTAAAGAATGTGGAAACTTCCCATGCCTCCGCTTTATAGTACATGTTCATCGCCAAACCTATCACTCTTCTTCAGATAAAAATTCTGAAGATGTTGTCTAATTGTCCTATAATCCTGCTGTCTCACTTAGAAAGATGTGGCATATTTCCTCATACCACAAGACTTGCCCAGCTCTTCCTGATGAGGGAACAGGATTTCACAGCTTGCACGAAGTCATTCAAAACCTGCTAGACCACTGAAGATTCAATTTGATGGAGTAGTTAGTGTGACAAGAAAAAAAATATTTAGCAGCAAAGGCCAGACGCAGTAGCTAAACATAACGATCTAAAATCAAGTGTCAGGCACCTACTGTTGTATGGCTTTAGCCAGGCAGTCGTGAAATATGTCAGTAAAACCCAAGTATCAACATAGATTTGGCATACTTCTTTAATTTTGCAAACTAGAGAACTGGGTTCTTCTGGAAGCTTAACACATGTCATTAAAATAGTAACTGTTACTTGGAGAATCCTTTTAAAATGCACTGCAGATATGAGAGAATTCTTGCTTTCAATATGGACCCCATCACAATGGATTCTTTGGGCTGGCTCCTCTCCAACTTCCACCATCCGGGCTGAATTTGTACTTTCACTTTAATGTGATTGACTACAGATCCATAAGCATGTCTCCACCAACATTCGGAACTCAGAATTTAATTTATGATCTAAAGAAAGCGATGTACAATTATGAAAAGTAAGGACGCCACTAGCTTTTTCACATGATAAATATGTGTAAAAATACAAATAAGGGTTCAGCGAGACAGACTTTGAGATTCATAACTTTCTGAAACCTGGAGTTACCTTGAAATTTGACTGGTGTTACTGTTGGCATAGCACAGGAATTTTGTTGATGGTTTTCAGCTGTTCCTAATGAATAACAGATTCAATGGTCCACCCAAGGGGTGTCCCGGCAACAGGGTAATTTTGGCATCTGGATTGGAGCCACTAGAAGTGAAGCCAAATTTCTATAAATTTTCATAGGCCACTGCACAATTAAAGTCATACAAGGGTAGAGCTTCACTATAGTGTGTGGTTCAAGTTCTTTTAACAAATGTGAGTGATGGAGTCCTAAGGAGCCAAAACCTAACCTAGACACCAGGTGCCAATGCAAAACACTAGTAGCAGCTATAGGTCAAAACCTATCACCGTGAACTTGGAAGAAGTGTTCAAATTAATGTTTTCCTGAAAGCTTAGCGTCATCTCTGATGCCTCTGTCTCCTTCATCCTCCAGATCTCATCAGTCCTCAAATACTGATAATCTTACCCCTTAAGTGTTGATTGAAAGCAGGTCCTCTACTCTACCACAGTTACACCTGCTCACATCAGGCCCTGGTTATCTCTCTGTTGGACTGCTATGAATTCCTCCTCCTCTACCCACCACCACCAGTGTCCCAGCCTCCAGCCCAACTCCCTCAAATTTAACTGCCACAACGCTGCCAGGGTGAACAACTTGAACTGCTGAGAAGTCAGATGAGCTGATGGCACCATCCCCCTGCCCCCTGCCCCCTCTGCTGATTACCCATCACTTCAACATACCAGTCAAAGCCTATCTATCTCTATAGACACAGGTTCCCTTTTATTTTAAATCCTATCAATACTAAACTTAAAAGTTCCCACTTGGGCTTCCCTGGTGGCGCAGTGGTTGAGAGTCCGCCTGCCGATGCAGGGGACGCGGGTTCGTGTCCCGGTCCGGGAGGATCCCACATGCCGCGGAGCGGCTGGGCCCGTGAGCCATGGCCGCTGAGCCTGCGCGTCCGGAGCCTGTGCTCTGCAACGGGAGATGTCATAACAGTGAGAGGCCCGCGTACCGCAAAAAAAAAAAAAGTTCCCACTTGCACTATGCCTGTCCACTTCTCAGCATCTTTTCATGCTATGGTACATCATGTCTTGTTGACCCCATTCTCCTAACTTTGTGATGTGACTAACACCTATTTATCCCTCAGGATGCCATTTAAGAATCACTCCCTCCAACTCTACTCCATATTCTGTAATAACCTATATGGGAAAAGAATCTAAAAAAGAATGAATATATGCCGATGTATAACTGCTTCACTTTGCTGTACGCCTGAAACTAACATAACATTGTAAATCAACTATACTCCAATTAAAAAGTAAAAATAAAAGAAATAGACAGAAAAAAAAAAAAGAATCACTACTTTAGGGAGCATTCCCAAGGCCTCTGGCCTCTTGTCTCATCCCCCTCCCTCCACCTCCAGGAAGGCTGGTTCATGCACCACTCTCCTCTGGACTTTCAGAGGAAAGTTCATACCTGGGCACTAGACGATGAGACGGTTTATTTATGACTCTCTCTACCACCTAAACTGTGAACTCCTCAGGGTTTGGGGCCATGTTCACTTTTGTTTGTATCTCCTGGGCCTAGCATAGTGCTTGGTATATGTGTAGGAAGTCACTCAATAAACTTCCCTTAGATAGCACTGCTCCAAACAAGGGACCACTGACTGGGCCTACAGCGTTTCCATAAAAGTGCAATTTACCTTTAAAGCTTGATAGCGCTTCTCCTGCAATAACTCAAGAGTCTGACTCTCTGACCACCCAGAGCACAGGTGCACCAGAATAACCAAGCCAAAAAGGTCCTGGGGCAGTCAGAATAGAAATATAAATTCCAAGTACGAAAACTCAGATACTTGCACATAAGAAAGCTCTTCTGCTCTTAGAGCCTAGTTACTCTTACTTTATAGAAAATTCTAAATCTAGTGCTTAAACCTATAAACTATAAGAGACAACAAATCAAAAAGAAGAGATAGGTTTGGAAGCTGACAGCAGTACCACAAAAAAACAATGTCAGAGACAGGAACACGAAACATAACAAATACATACTTACAGACTTCTTTGCAATGTTGGAAATGTTCTGCATCTGGGCTAACACAGTAGCCATTAGACACATGTGGCTACCGAACACCTGAAATGTGACTAATGGGACTCAGAAACTGAACTTTTAATGTCATTTATTTTAATTAATTTATATTTAAATTTAAATAGCCATATGCATATAGTGGCTGTTATGTAGAACTCACAATCACTGCAGGTTCAGCCATTATGTAGGCAAGTAGGCAAAAGCATCTCTGCTGGCCCTGAGGGATTTGCAGAAGGTGAGAGGAGCAGGGAAGGGACTTTTCTGAGTAGCATCAGAACAGGCCACTATAGAGAAAGATGCCATTGGCCCTACCTAAACTTACATCTATGTTATATTCTACTATTTTCTCTACCCTTCTCTATAAAAGAAGGACACATGCCCATCAACTGCCTTGTGAACTGCAGGGTCTCTCTTGGAACACAGTGACACTGGGCTTGCCCATGAGACTCACTCTGGCCAATGGAATGTGAATAACCAGTGTGTGTGGTCACAGCTGAGCAGGAACTTTAAGAGCCATTGCAAGTTTTGACTGTCGCTAAGAGCCCTTTATGTTTCAGCCACAAGGATGGCATGTTCCAGGTGGGGGTTTCTCCTTCAGCCTGGATCCTGGAGTGAAAGAGATAACTGAGGCAGAAACAAAGGCACTACTGACTTTATATATATATATACACACACACATATATATGTCATATATGTATATATGTGTGTGTGTATATATATATATATATATACACACACACACGACATAAATCTTAGTGGTTGCAAGCCATAGAGATTGGGGGTTGTCTGTTATCCCTGCATTACTGAGGAATTGCTGAGTAACGCAGGAGCCCTGAATTCAAAGTTTCTATCAGGGCATTCACAATCTGCAGCTGATGACAGATAAGATATAGAATAAATATATTTAATAACTTAGGGAAGAGTGTTTAGTGAAAATTACATAACTACTGTCTTCCTCCTATCACACACCAAAGTGATCAAATGATTAACACCAAACAGTAGGAAACAAACAAATCTGAAGAAGAATTTAGCAAGAGTCAGGGATTTAACACACGCAGACTAAATGACAAAGCATTTTAAATAGGAGATAAACCCTAGAGATCATTAAAATACAGTCTTGGCAGCTCAGTTCGCTAACCTACCTGATGTCACTTCTAAGGAAACAAGCAGCCCTGTTGTATGTTAAATAATTCTATATACTTTTGATAGATTTCAATATTTCATATCTAAATGCATTTTCCCTCTAAATTCCACCTTCAAAAACCAAGGGCAAAAATGATAGAAACTGGTGTTCTTGTGTTTGTATCAAGTACAAAATAATGTTATTGTAGTGTTATATCAGAGAGATAAAATAACTCTGTGACAGCTTGGCATTCCAAAATGGGCTTTGTTTAAGCTATGTTTTGAAGTGTTAACTGTCCTATGCTCTTCTTAGAGAAGTAAAACTTGGGGGGAAAAATACTGTAACCAAACAGAATTTCTGCCCTCAATAATAAGAAACCTGGCTCAGTTTCATGATTCAGTTTGACA